TGCAGCCTGCCCTTCACCATTGGACCACCAAACTTTGCAAACATACTAGCAGTTTTATGACAAACAGTTAATGGGATAGTGAAGCAGGACATAGAGAAAACAGGAAGAGCACTGAGCACAGCTTTCATAAGTACTTCTTTCCCAACAAAAGAAAGAAATCTTTTCTGTCAACTAGAAATTTTGTTCCTAACTACATCAACAACATACTCAAAGGTCTGCCTTTTGGACCTACCAATACCGAGGGCAAATCCAAGGTACATAGAGGAGCTATGAACTTGAATTCCACCCAGAAAATTACAGATATTAGCCTACATAGTTGCTGTAACATTCTTGCTAAAGAATAAGGAAGATTTTCTGAAATTCACTTTTTGTCCAGTGAATGAATGATATGGATCAAGAATTTTAAGCACAGCTCTAGCAGAATTCAAATCAGCACCACAATAAACGAGTCATCAGCAAATAGTAAGTGAGACAATTGGACACCCCTTCTAGCAATTCTGATACTAAACAGATTTCCCAAATGAATCTCTTTCTTGATAAGTCCAGAAAAGAGCCCAGACACCAATATGAACAGATAAGGAGATATGGGATCACTGTAACACCCCGCCTTCTATAACTAAACTTGTAAAAATCAGAGTTAAATTTTTTGCTTTTTATTTTTTTGAAAATGCTAACTTTATTTTTGAAAATACTATAACTATCTTGTCGGATGTTCCTAAACTTACTATTCTTATATCTTTCTCATTTAGACATAATTAATACATGCAACTGAATCACAATCCATTTAGTAAAGGTACCATGGAGATAAGATTGTTACAAATGTGTTGACAACCGACCAGGATTTGTTGGGATTAAAGTAAAGATTTACGAGTATTATTTAAAGATTATTCCTCAAACCGGCTCATACGCCTAACTTGACGCAACTCGGTACAAGCTGAGTGTCAAACTGTAACGCCCCACTTTTAATTGCCAAAAATCAGAATAAATTTTTCAAATTTATTTCAATAAATACTTGAGGCGTTACTCATTTTCAAACGGTTTATCAATACTTGACCAAATCTTCAATCCTCAATCATTTACCAATACTTAAACAATCATCAATACTCAATTATCAATACTCAAATTCGCAATCCAATAATCAAATCATCATAGGAAGTACACTCCATATCAATAATCAAGTAATCAATAATAAAGAAAGCAGTAATAGCAATATTCAGTTCTAGGCGGAAGCAATATCAATTATTAAGACCACCACTCGCATCCCTCCGCCGTGCCTGCAACACTAACTTGCATCCATGAAAAGCAGGTGGGGGTGAGCACAATAGGAAAATCGAGGTGCTCACCGCTATGCAATAATTAATATCCAATAATCAATAAACAATTTAGGTATGGTCGCAGCATGTATACGAATCAATAATCGTCCCATCTCCTATCAATAATCAATAATGAGTCTCATGTGCACACCTATAGCAATAGACTACTGCCGAACTATATACCGAACGCCTTATCTAAGGCCTTACAACGAGTGTCCGGCCAGCAGGAGCAATAATCCACCCCGAATGCCAAAACTTACGCCTTGGCCTTACATACGAGGATCACCAGCCAAGGCTCACACCCTGACTGCCAACAATAATAAAGGAGACGGGTTACAGTTTTTAACGAATAGCATGCGAGTCGGTTTACAGTTTTTAACACAAAATTACATTTTCGAAAACAAAAGCCAATAGTGCACATAAACAAGTTTGGACGGGTTACCGAATGAGTTAAGCCCTGAAATTTTAACCAAAAATCCATCTCACTGGACATAGGAAAACCACCAAATTTCAGCCATTAACTCAGAACACCTGATTTTATAAAATTCACACAAGTTTGCAGCAAAAACGAGCACAAATTCAAAACCAGATCTAATGAATGAATTAACCTATGAAAATTTTACACAAGCAGTAACAGCATGAGGACAGCAACATATAAAATTTTCAGCTATTAACAACAAGTATTCGAATTTTAAAAATTAAAACTAGTTTCTGCTGATTTGGAATATTTAACAAGACTAAACCAAAATGAATCTAAATAAATCCCATCTTTTTACATACTGAAACACAACACAAAATGAACCTAGTCATTAATTTTTAGCAATTTAGCACAACAAGTCAATTTATTAAATTACGAATCTGCAGAATTTATCAAATAATTTTTAACCCTAGAAAACGAAGTCCAAAAATTCTAAAAATTTTACACAACCTAAAAAACACACAGGAAGACAACATACTCAAATTTCATAATTGTTGGAGCACAACTCAATTTAATAGGCAATTAACAAGATTCTGCTCAGAAAATTTAATACAATTATTAAAAATAGCTATACTTAATATTTTAATCCGAAATTTTTAAGCAACATATATATTCAGCAGAGGGACTAGCACATAAAATTTCACGGCAATACGAGCAGCATACAATTTATCATAATTTATATACTAAAACAGCGACAATACAAGTTCATTAATTCATAACCGACTCGTTTTACGACGAATTTGTCCGAGGCCTTCGCCATAAGACCAAGAACTCAACAATGTTCTATTTTCCACAGTCCTATACACGAATGACGAGCTCTCGTTCGATTTCTCAAAATTAGCAAGTTCGTCTACACACATTCACATATATATCGACCCAAATTCAAACTCATGAACACAAAATTTAACATTGGCACAATCACATGAATTCGATAATCATGTCTTGCAAATCAAACATAATACGCAAATAATATAGACAATTTAACGAGGCGGGATTTCGAGCCTTGTACCGTTCTCGGAAATCGTTCGAAAAAACGGAACGGACGAGGGTTGACGGGCTCGATTTGCGGTGGCTAGCGGCGGCGAACGAGCTCGACGGCTCGACGGAAGGTGACTAGTGGTCTGCTGCTACTAGAGGAACCAGCGTGGTGTTGCCGTGAAGTGAACGGACAGCCGCTCTCAGGTCTGTCGGCGAGGGCTGACGGGGTACCAATCGTTGAAGGGTTGAGACGGGCTGATTGCTGTCGTTTTTCGCACGGCCCGGGAGAGCTGCTGCCAAACGACGTGAACGGCTCGAGAAGAACCTCGCCGTTTGCTGTTACTGCTAGTTGTCGCCGGCGTCCAGTGGCTGAAAACGAGTCATCGGGGCCCTGTTGGTCGCGAGAGTGCTCGCCGGGAAAGGACTGCTCGTGGCTAGGGAGGAGCAGCGAACAGAGTGAAGTCACCGGAGGAGCAGCTGAGGGCTCACGGCGATAGTGCTGTAGCTGTGTGATGGAGCGAGACTCGCCGGCGGTGCTGCGGTCACGGAGGAGGGTCGAGGTGGGGGATCACGGTGGAGGGCCTGCGTGCGGCGGCGCTTCGCGAAGGTGTAGCAGCAGGTCGTCGGCTCGCAGTTGTAGGCGGAGGTCGCGGCTCGCCGGGAAGAAAAAGGTCGCGACGGTTGCAGACGGAGGCCGCAGCGGTGAGAAGCTTGCAGGCGGAGAGAGATCTCACGGACAGGGGCTCGCCGGTGGCGGAGGAGCTGTTCGCGGCGTGGCGGGTTGGTCGCGGCGTGGTGTCTTGCGCGGAGGCTTGCAGATCGCGGTGGAGGAGGTCTGCTCGTCGGTTACTGCTACACGCGATGGTCGCTGGAAGGATTCGAGCTTCAAGTCGGAGTTTGTGTTTGAATTTCATTGAGGAAGGAGATGAAAGTGAGGAGCGCGACTGATGGAAAGATTTAGGGTTGGGAGAAAAATTGCGAGTCTTCTAACTTGTACGGGTTGGGGGAAATTTTATGGGTCCAAACTCTTTTGAATTAATTGGGCCGAAAATGCACATGGGCAGATTTAATTTGCAAAATTTGGTCGAGTTTTGGGTCTTGGGTTGGCGGGCCATGGGCTGTCCACGAACACACGATCGATTTCTCGGGCTCAACACTTAACGAAAATTCGAGGCTCGTTACATATATAAATATGTAATGCCCGGAATATAAATACGATGACTCGAAAAATTAAATACATTTAAACCAACATTATATATATATTTATTTTACACACACAATAAACATATAATCAAACAATTTATTCCATTTAGACAATTAAATAATAATAATAATAATAATAATAATAATAGTACACAATTATGCGAAAAAAAATTCAAATAAACGAACGGCTTAGATTCGAATTATGCAATTAACCCAAAATCGTCGAACAACAAACGTTTTAAACAAAACGATCGAGTACTACAACATCTTAATTCGGTCGACATCACGACCATTAATATAATTATAACCTTATAAATAATATTTGATAAATAGAATATTCCGAGAAATTCTGTAAATCGAATGGGGTGCTACACAAATTGACTTCACGCATAAGTACGAACCAACTTTACACGTTCAAGATCACAAACGACTTCTCAAAGATACTTTCTCGAAGGTTCTCCCCACAAACCGAGGTCCTAGGTGATCGAAACCCGAAGCAGGTGACGAGGCGCCCACATAATTGGCCCACATGCTACATTGTAATCATAACTGTCCACCAATTAACCAATAAACCGCATCATAAAGCTACTTTGCATTAAATGCGATCACACCTACCTCGTACGCAATGTCAAACGCTGGCTACTATAAATAGCGAAATTTATTATTGTACGAAGGATCTTTTTACGCATATTCAATAGGCGCATGCAAAATAGCTCGGCTCACACATAAACCGACAACACTATACTTTGCAATCACACAACAATAATACAAAGTCTCAACTTTTTACGCTTTAATTACATATTATTATCGTTGTTATATTTCATACAACAACAGTTTGGCGCTAGAAGGAGGGCCTCATAAGTTATTTGACGTTAATCTTCGATTTCATACCCATAAGTCGCATACCTCTTGCCAAGAACACGTTTGAATCCATCATTCAAACAAGCACTATGTCTCAATCTGGACAAGAACAATCTTCAAGGGTCGGGCCTAGCCGTAATACTGCTCAGTCCGCCGGACGAACAAATATGCCGCCGATGATGTCAAACATTGCGGCTCTATTTCAAAATCCAGAGTTCGTCAAAGGTTTTTCCTTGCTGATGGCACAAGCGATGCCTGGAACATCTGTGCCTGCCCCCAGACAATCTACTGTCCCCATAACACTGGCAAAACCGCTAACACGCTGGCACAAGGACGTCATGAACGTGCGGCCATAACACATGCAACTTCCCAGCCGCACAATGATTTTCCACGAAGAGAAGAGGTTGCGGTTCAAGTGCATGGTAATCCTCCAGTTGTCGCCAATCAACCGGTGGCACATCCTCCAGAAAGTCATTCTGGTCATTATCAAAGATCCCCTACAGTGGCACGATCGAAGTTGCCGTAACAGGAGACACAAACCGACTTGCGCCAATATATAGAGAGGAATCACTTTACCAGGCATGAGTCAGTAGAGTTGGAATTTTTACGTAAGAAAGTTGCCGAGTTAGAAACTCGACAGAAGGCTAAAGAATATTCTCCCCGACGAGCTTCTACGTCGGGTCATGTTTATCTAGAAATCGATTCTCCATTAGCACCTGAGCTCACATCGAAATCCTTGTCCAGCAAAGTCAAAATTCCACAAATAGGTCTATATGACGAGACCTCAGACCCTGATGCCTACCTCGGGCAATACACCTTATGGATGGATTTACATGGAGCTTTGAATGAATTGAGGTGTCGAATGTTCTCTCTCACTTTGGGGTCCCGAACTAAAAAGTGGTATCATTCATTACCCCACCATTCCATTCGAAAGTGGCAGCAGTTGAGGTCGGCATTCCAATCTCACTTTATAGGAGCTCAGGTATGCTTGGTTCCGAAAGAGTCGATCGCCAACATTGTTCAGAAGGAAAGTGAGAGCGTTAAAGATTACACAGCTCGGTTCAAAGAGCGTGTACAAAATATGGAGCCGTGTCATCCAGAAACAATATTGGTTGCTGCATAGCCGGTTTGAAATTGAATTCTTTATTCCGATGAACGCTCTGTCAAAATAAGCCCAATTCGTTTCAAGAATATCTTTCTCGAGCTTAGCAACACATAATTGCTGAAGAGTCGATGTCTGTCCCCAACTTTGATTTTTCTCTAAAAGAATCGAAGTCGGGACAAGAAGGAAAGAAGAGAAGAACAAGTTCTTTGGTAACAAATCGGGGAAGCCCCTAATTCAGGGGCCCTCCGAGGAGACATCCAAATGATCCCGACGTAAGAGCACCAAAAAAGCAATATGCTGATGATTTAAAGGCGAGTTATCAAACCATTTACCTGGCCGGAGCTGCTACCATCTTTGAAGAGTTGAAGGGAAAAGGAATTATTCCCGAACCAAGACCGATGAGAATGCCCTAAGACCGACTGGACAAATCTAAGTACTGTGCTTACCACAAACCAGTCGGGCACAATATCGACGAGTGTTTGAGTCTTTTGTCAACATTGCTGAGGATATCGGAAATCCCCAAGTTCAAAGATTTGTCCCAAACCCTGATTTCAGACGTAAAGGGGGACCTCAAGATTTTCCCGACGACGATGAGGATGACAACAGAACGATGAACCCGAAGAGAATCAGGCATGGAGATAAGGAAGTCTTTACCCTGGCCTCGGACGTATCGGGGACCTTGCCTGAAAAAGATAATAAGAGGGCCAGAAGAGGTTATTCCCCGAGTTCTTCCTACAATGATTATATCCCTCGTGTAAATACAAATGACGGAATACGGACTTGCTCTCGCCGACAAGCTAAAGCATACGCATGGAAGGCATACAACTCGGGTAAGAACGTCTTAACTGCTGATCTCAGAGACACAATCAATGCTCGTAATTGTCCCATCACATTTAGTGTCGAAGATGCTAGTCTTTTATACGTCCTCATTCCGATGCCCTCGTCATCACTGCCCCGATTTGCGGTATTCCTGTTCACCGAATTATGGTGGGTACGGGGGCCTATTCAAGCTTCTTGATGCTTAGAGCGTTTGAAAAAATGGGAATTGATCCCGCTGAGATCAAACCATGTAAAGACCGAATTCAAGGATTCAACGGGAGCATCACATGTCCTCTTGGTGAAATAACTCTGCCCATCTAATTTGGAGGTCCTGGACAAGCCTCCAAGGTCATTATGGAAACTTTTAAAGTGATGGACATCAAGAACGAGTATAAAGCCATTGTTGGGAGGGCTGCACTATACAAACTTCGTGCTGTAGTCTCAATTTTTCACTATGCACTCAAATTTCCCACAACAGATGGAGAAGGTATGCATTATGGCGATCAACGTGAAGCGCGAGAGCTTGTATTGGCCGTACCTTCTCAAGAAATTCGAATAGCGGAAATTGCCACTAAAGACACAAGCAAAAGCGTGAAGAAAATACCTCAAGATTCTGAACCATCGTGTACCACCTCGGCGCATGATATAACCGAGGTCGAAACTCAAGATTCCTAGATCACATTGAACTTGGAGAAGATTTAACTCGGGATCAGGGAAGGCGACCTGACAAAGAACCTATGGAAGAAGATGATGATTTGGATCCTCGAACACAATTCTAGGAAAAAAGCAGAAATGACCGAGCTGAACCTTTCGAAGAAATATAAACAATTTTCGTCGATGAACCAATTTGCAACAAACTATTTCGGATAGGTGCCAACCTTCAAGAGCCAGTTAAAACTGAACTCATCAAATTCCTCCAGGCTAACCTATTTGCCAGAAACATGAAGATATGAAGGGTATCGACCCGAAGGTGGCTACTCACCGACTTAATCTCGACAACACAGTCAAACTGGTTGTTCAGAAACAACGAAAGCTTGGTCCCGATCGCAAAAAGCTTTGGAAGAAGAAGTGAGAAAACTCATTGACAATAAATTTATTCAAGAGACAAAGTACCCGACTTGGGTATCAAATCCTGTCTTGATAAAGAAAAGCAATGGTTTGTGGCGCATTTGTATTGATTTCTCCGACCTGAACAAAGCATGTCCCAAAGATAGTTACACACTTCCTCATATTGATTACATGGTGGACGCCACCTCGGACATGAACTCATGAGCTTTATGGACGCCTATTCGGGCTACAATCAAATCCCGATGGACCCCGAGGAAGCTGAACACACTTCTTTTTATTCAGCTCGCGGCTTATACTGTTACACCATGATGCCGTTCGGGTTGAAAATGTTGGGGCCACCTATCAAAGGTTGGTCAACGAAATGTTCTCAAGACTCATTAGACAAACCATGGAGGTCTATACAGACGATATGTTAGTAAAGTCTGTACATGCTGCTGACCATGTAAACCATCTACAAGACATGTTCAACATCCTCCGAGATTACTCGATGGTGCTGAATCCAAAGAAATGCACATTTGCAGTCGGCTCAGGTAAATGTTTGGGGTACATGGTCACCCAAAGAGGAATCGAAGCCAACCCGACAAAGATAGAAGCAATTATTGACTTGACTTTGCCGATGCCGGTGAAGGGCATTCAAAGCCCTCACTGGCCGACTTGCTGCTTTGAGTAGGTTTTTCTCGGAGTCAACCGATCGCTGCAAGCCTTTCTTTGAAGCAATAAAGAAAAGAAAATGTTTTGAGTGGACTGAGGAGTGCCAACAAGCCCTGATCAGCATCAAAGAAGCACTCACTCAACCGCCGACCTTGCAAAAGCCGATTCTTGATGAAATGTTATACCTGTACCTGGGAGTTAGCGGCTCAGCCGTCAGTGCTGTCCTCGTCCGAGAAGAAGGACTCCAACAATCTCCTGTATATTACGTCATCAAATCTCTACACGAAACCGATTCGCATATCCTCCCATGGAAAAGCTGGCGTTTGCACTAGTTACAGAAGCTCAGAAGCTACAACCATATTTCTAAGAACATTCCATTACGGTGCTTACTTCTTATCCTTTAAGAAAAATTCTGCACTGACCTGATACTTCAGGAAGAATGGTCAAATGGGTCGTCGAACTCGGTTAGTTCGACATTCATTATAAGCCCCGAACTGCTATCAAAGCACAGGCATTGTCCGAATTCATCGCTGAATTCACCCCGATGGTGCAAGTAGTGAACGACAATCAACCATGGATTCTATATGTGGATGGGTCATCAACGGCACACCGAGCTGGTGGAGGCATCGTTTTAGCAAACCCGAAAAACAGACTCTTCTGCCACTTGATCAAATTTTTATTTCCAATGACCAACAATGAAGCCGAATACGAAGCATTGATCTCCAGCTTAAATTTGGCAGAATCCATAAGCATAACCCAACTCAAGGTTTTCTGCGACTCGCAATTGATGGTAAATTAAGTGAACGGAGAATTCGAAGTAAAAGATCCTCGGTTGGTGCCATACTTGACACTGACAAAACAAAAGTTGTCCAAATTTGACGCACAAGTGGAGCATATCCCACGGATACTGACCGTTCAAGCCAACGCTCTCTCAAGATTAGCATCAAGTACTGGCATGGAAAAGCGTCGAATATGTTCAAGTCGGTCAACAAGAACAGCCATCAACTTCGACCAATGAAGTCATGAATACTGAATTAATCCAATCAAAGAAGGACCCGACTTGGATGGAACCCATCATTACCTATCTGAAAATGGTGGCCCTACCAGACAATCCCAAAGAAGCTCCATCACTGCGCATCCGAGCAACTCGGCTTACTATAGACAACAGAATCCTGTACAAATGAGGATACTCCACTCCTTTGCTAAAGTGCTTAACCGAGCAAGAATCCAAGTACGTACTCAAAGAAATTCACGAAGGAATATGCGGAAGCCACCATGGAGCACAAACATTGGCATACAAAATTCTCTGCCAAGGATACTACTAGCCAACATTGAAGTCGGAAGCAGCCAATTGGGTACGAAAATGCACTAAATGCCAAATATTTTCACCCAACGCAAATCAAACATCCTAGTTACTCAAGTCTATCTACAGTCCCTGGCCATTCGCAAAATGGGGAATCGATTTAATCGGTCCTCTTCCAACCGGAAAAGGAGGAGTTAAATTTGCCATTGTTGCCATGGATTATTTCACAAAGTAGGCAGAAGCAGAACCTTTAGCAACAATTACCGAGCAAAAGGTGATTGATTTCATCTGGAAGTCCATTGTCTGCCGATTTGGAGTACCCAACTCCATCATAATCGACCACGGTCGACAATTCGAAGGATAAAGGCTCGAGACGTTTTGTGATGAATATAGAATCAAACACTTCTTTTCTTCACCATACCATCCTCAATCCAAGTCGAAGCTATTAACAAGATTATCAAGAACGGCCTCAAAACCCGACTTGACGCAGCAAAAGGTGCCTGGCCCGAAGAGTTACCTCACGTCCTATGGGCATATCGTACAACAGCCCGCACATCAATTGGAAAAACACCATTCTCTCTAACTTATGGGTCAGAAGACATAGTCCATGTTGAATTCAGATCCCCGACGTACCGAGTCAAAAATTTCCACTAAGAATCCAACTCAGAGAACTTAAAAGTGAATCTCGACCTGATAGACGAGCTACGCTCTGAGGCCGAACTAAAAAATGCGAGCTACAAACAAAAAAGCGATAAATACATCAACGCCAAGTTGAAACCTCGAACATTCCGAGTTGGTGACTTAGTTCTCAAAAGAATCACTGGAGCTGACCCGAGGCCACACAAACCGAAGTGGGAAGGACCATTCAAGATAAGTCAAGTGCTACCAAATGGTACTTACTGACTTGAACACCCAGATGATACCCCTCATCAATACCCGTGGATTGTTGTTTACCTCATGAAATACTTCCAGTGATGTAAAACAAAGCTTTGTAATCTTGTTTTGGTGTAAAGAAGATTCCTGAGATGACACACTTTCTGTAATTCCTTACATGAGTTCTTCAATTCGGTAGGGTGAAGCCTTCAATTACACCAACTCCTGAAGATGATTTGGTAAGGCTGATGCCCGTTCCTACAGTTCGGCAAGGTCGAAGCCTTCATTTTCACCAAGTCTTGAAGATGACTTGGTAAGGCCGACAACCCGTTCCCTTACTGAGTTCTTCAATTCTGTGGGCCTATTCCCTTACCGAGTACTTCAATTCGGTGGACTGAAGCCGCCACTTTCACCATATCCTGAAGATGATTTGGTAAGGCTGAAGTCCGTTCTTTTACCAAGTCCCTATGAGATTTGGTAAGGCCCGTTCTTTAATCGAATCCCACCGAGATTCGATGCCAACAATTCCTAAGTTAATCAAACCCCATGAGGTTTGGTATGGCCACAAAATTCCGAATTTATAAGTCAGAAACAAACAATACCGACGTTTCTTGAAATACAATATCGAGCTCGGACATGGAGTAAGTACTTAAATGATTTCAAACATTTCTTAACTCGGTTGCAGGAACGAACCTTCCCTATGCATTAATTCCGACGTCATTAAGTTTTACTCCTATTACATTACTATGAAAACAGAATCTGAAGTCAAATATTTTCAACACAGAACCTTTACCCCGAATTAAGTGATCTTTGAAATTATTTCTTTCTTCAACAAAATTAAAACACTTATCTCGAGTTCGATCTACTTGCGACAAACAAAAACAAGTTACTTATTCCTGTTTACTTGAACAACAAAATTTCTTAAAATGACTTGCACGACAAACAGAAAGTAGGTTGTTCATTCATAAGAAGCGAAAATTGTTCAAGATCTTGCATATGCATAAATCAAAATCATTACTAAAGTATACCGACATATCAGTACACTTAAATAAAACAAAATGCTCCTACACAAAGTAAAAATAAAACATCATCTAAGCTTCCTTCTCGGCATCCTCCTGAGGCATATTGGGCACACCGCTTGTAACGCCCCGTCATTTTTAAAGAGATTTTTCCCAAATTTTAAATAAAAAGAAAATAATTTTTTTTTTTCAAAAATATTAGCAGACTTCTTAATTTCTCAAACGAAAAAATTTTCTTTTAAACACATAAAAAAGGGCATTACTCGAATACCATTTCATAATTTCATAATTTCAAATCCTCAAATCATTTCACATAACTTAACGGCTCCCACATATCATTATAACAATCAAACATCATTATAATATTTGCAATTCAAGCCATATCTGAACATGGGGGATTTCATTATCTAATTTATCATTTAGGATCTCATTATCCAAATCATCATGTGATATCATAATCGTCTCATCATAACATAATCATCAAACAATAGCAAAATCATCATTTTCAACATCTCATCATCTTTCAAAACCAAATCATCAGGTTCAAATTATCATTGTAAGTTTCATGACATCATCATGTTTGAAAATTCCCAAAACAAGTTCTTTAAAAGGAAAACATAAACAGTTGAATCATACGACAATTAAAAGACCAGCCACCACTCGTATAGCCATGCCAGCCATCTGCTCAACCTGAAATAGAGAGGGGGGAGGGGGTGGGGGTGGGGAAGGGAGTCGTGGGAGTGAACACACCACTTGCTCACTACTATGCACATAAATCAAATAATAACATATAGTATGGCCGCAGCATGAACATGAATCACAAATCATAATATCACATCTCCAATCATATCATATCATATAGGCTCTTGTGATCACTTATATAGTCGTTGTAATTCAATTCCGCATCTTACAACAGGAGCACGTGTCGAAGGCAATACCGCATCCTACGACACGTTAAGGAGACCGCCTCATCATAGGCACCATCGAGATCGACAACCGCACACGACGACGGGGATAACCGTTTCGAAGGTCGATAAACGCACACATCAAAGTTACATGGTTCACACGCATACATAAATCATATCATCTAGCAATCTAAAGAAATTATGGCATAGAAATTTAGAATAACCCACCTGTCTGGATAGACAGGAAAGACGCTATGATCGAGTGGTAGATATGAGGCTCGACTCCTCAGGAACCTACATATAATTAAGATAATTTTCCTAGATAAAGTTTTAAGATAATTTTCCTAGATAAAGTTTTCTCGATAACTCAGAAATTCTCACTTAAGAAGAAATATCTAAAAATTAATCTAAGCAAAATTCCTAAAAGAACTATAACATCGGCTTAGAATAATTACCACTCTTCGGGCATCTTCAAGCAAGGATGCACGGTAAGGATTTTTGCTCAACATTTCGGCCATTTCTTGGCTAAGACATTGCTCCCAATTTGGCTCAGTGTCGGGTCAAAGCTCCTCTTGATATCCATTGCAATTCGTCTTCTTTAGAAATACTTACCTACCTCGGCCCAATAAATGGCAAATACATGTAGTCTAAAATTCTAGCCCAATTCATAAAAATCCCTAAAAGAAACACCAAGACCCAACCCTTTCACTATAGCCCAATTTCTTTACATTTCTTTTCTATTTTCTTTTATTTTCCTCCTCTCCTTTTTCTTATTCTTGATCCCCTTTCTAATATCTTCCTCCTTTCACCAAAAACCAAATTTGCAGACATCATATCCCAATTTCTCCTCTAAAATTCTCTCTTGTCACCATTCGATATTGCATCACGGCGGACGCAAGCGGCGGGGATGGCGGTTGATGTCGAAGACGGAGGTGATTTTGGCTGTTGGCATCTAGGCTCAGCCTGCGAGCTGTCGTCGATAGCAGCTCGACGCCGGCGGCTGAGCAGCGGTTGCCCACGGCTGGGCGGGGCGATGTTCTACAACGGCGGTCTCTCTCGTCTTTTCACGGTGGCCGGAGGATGGTGGTGCGTGGAGATAACGACAGTGGTTCTCACGCTCTCCCGTCGCCGCTGGTTGCTGATGGACGCGAAAAAGTCGGCGTGGGGCTCGCGGCTGCGGTGAAGGTTGCTCATAGCTTGAACGCGGATAGGAGTTTGATGGCTAGACCGTTGGCTGCTGCTCGGAATTCCGTCGATGGGGCTGCTAATTGAAGGAGTGTTACCGTTCATGGCGTGGATACTCGTCAGATCACTCTTGATTGGATGTTGTGATATCTCGCAGCCAGGGGTGAATTGAGTAAAAACGGGCCCTTTCTTCTGAAAGCGTGTCTTAATGAACGAGCATCGGTGTGACCCGATTGTGGCTTACGGCTCAAACGTATGACGTTTGACTAGAGAAGACAGTGGCCTTGCTTCAGAACTGTGACTATTTGGATCCATCGGCAACTACCGACAACGTGTGAACTCGATCTGACGCTTGAGTGATGAAGCCCTGTGTTAGAATATACACTTGTGAGTTGTCCCACATCGTCTGTACAGGGAAACTAGGCCTAACTTATAACCGTAGTGGGCTACTACTCCTACCACCAATTGGTTTTAGGATAGAACCTCACTTGGGCTTCATTTGGGCTTCTCTGATTTGGTGCGGTTTGTCCGTGGGACTGCACCCGTCAACCCCCATTTCATCATGATATCAGGCCAGTTCACTCAGCCCAGTTGGGCTTTGGACTACGTGGGACCATGCAATGACGTACCCGTCACCCAGCCCAGTTGGGCATGGGCTTCCGAAGGACTCACAAGTGAGGGGGGATGTTAGAATATACACTTGTGAGTTGTCCCACATTGTCTGTACAGGGAAAATAGGCCTAACTTATAAGCCTAGTGGGCTACTCCTCCTACCACCAATTGGTTTTAGGATGGAACCTCACTTGGGCTTCATTTGGGCTTCTCTGATTTGGTGCGCTTCGTCCGTGGGACCGCACCTGTCAACCCCCGTTTTGTCACCCTGGAGTGGGGGACTGAAATTTTGGGCCATGGCTGATGGCCCCTGAACTAGTTTCCGGAGGCTAGGCTATGCTTGAAGAATTTTAGTTGAGTAACAGTCTTAATCTTTCTCTTCTCCAAGTTGTAAGAAAAGATGAGGCAAGGATGATTCTTGTGTTGTGATTGATCTTTCCCCTTTTTGCCGTAATAACCAAGATTTTCGGCAGCATAAGGAGGTTACCAGGACCAAGGGAAAATTCCCATAATCAATATCAAATAATTGGCAGAATTCAAGGGCTTTGACCGGTCATCAACGAGCAAATTGGGGCTGAAATCTCACTACCAAAATATGCCTCAAGTTTGAAATTTGAAAATTTCAAGAGAAGCCAATTGATCAAGGATATGAGCCGGATTTTTCTTAGGTAATAATCAAGGATTCAAGAGGATTTACTACCAATAATTGAAATGCCATTAATGCTCAAAGTTTAGGAAGGCCTTCATCAGCCCTTGAACCTCTCATTTGACCTAATTGATGAGGTCAAGACGAGAGATCGTCAAGACGAGCATTGTCTAAAAATTAATCCGTCTAAGTTAACACGAGGAATCTCGTCGGGTGAAAGTACCCAAAATATAAACAAAGCAAAAACCTAAAATACGCTAACTCCTCTATAACGAATGGAGAACTACTATCTACCCTCCTTAAATGATTTTTGTCCTCAAAAATTCCACAAGGACGGCAACTCACAGGAAGAACACGTACACGGAAGAATTACAAACTCCGAAATTCGGATACTACTTAAATAACTCATCCTTGCTCTCCAGAGTCCTCACCCTCGCCGGAACGGCTCCTCTTAGACTTTGACGAGTACCATAACCGGTTGTTTGACTGTTGGGCTCTCCGTCCCACCATGAACACTGGTACCCTCGCACAGGTTAGGTTCTGCCCATAATGCAACTCGTCAAAGTTTACCACGTGCCTCGGGAATATTCACACAATTCCTCCACTCGAGGTGTACATATCTCCTCCACTCGAGGTGTACAACGTGCTGTGAAGTCCCGAAAGCTATGATAGTAAGGCTAACCAGTAGGCTAGGTCATCGACTTGATCGAGACTCCCAATAGGGCTAACATCGCACGACGGTGACTCCCTTCTCTTCTCAGAACGAAGGTGTCTCACACCTCTTTCCATACCAATGTCTCGCATCGCATCTATCAACACACAAGACTCCAATCGATCTCTTGGTGTATTGACAGCATGCTTACGATCATCCAATATCAGGGGTCGATATGTGGCATCAAGCTTCACCCTTGTGCCCGAATCACGCTGAAAACTTACCCACAATCTCATCACAAAACGTGCGTCTCTGTCAGGACGGTCGACACGGTACCTCATACTAACGGTCTAACTCTGCTTCACTCTCTGTCCTCATAGATTTGATCCCTATGAAGCATACATAGTCTCTAATCGAGACTCAAGACTCCGACCGATATCAATGCAGAACCTCTGTCTTGCCAACTCAAGAAAAATCCAGCATATGGCATAAGAAACTAATCGACAAGCCTCCTTTAATCGAAAACTATTGATTAGGGAATTCATATAATGGTTCAGTGGAACTTAGAGCTGTCGGTTAAAGGCTCATAAGAAAGGTTCAAGAAGCTAACATATTATTTGGCAAAGAAGATCGGTCGAACGACTCAGAAGAAATTAGATGGTCCGGGGTTTAGTGCACTGTCACCCGAGAGGTGGCACGCTCGCTGGCGCTGCATAAGTGGGGCACTGGGACGCGTGCGTGCACCTGTTCGGAGACCAGCTGCAAGGTCGAGGTTTGGCCGTACACACTGGCCTGGGGAGTTCGTGCGTTCGGTGATGGTGGTTGCAGCTCTCGTGCGAGTCAACAGTCGGCTCTGCAGTTGGCCTCACGTCTCTCAGTATGGGCGTGCTTGCTCGACCACCACTTCGTGTGGCTACACCTAGCCAGGGTCGGCATTCGGTTCGAGGTACAAATAAGAAATTCTCCAATTCAGTGTTCATAATTTCAAAGGTAACCCGAAAGAAAAGGTTTTCCACAAAACTTTCAAACCAACAAAAATTTAGGGTTCAACAAAAATAATTTTCCATGGTACTTAGGTGTTAAATAATCTCGAATGTTTCAAGAGTTTCAAATTATAACAAGACATAAAACCGAGTCGAAGTCCAACACCTCTTTCCGAATTAATACAATTTCAAGCGAATATCAAACGATAGAGATCGGGAAGAATTCCTAAAGAGATCGAACATCGGCTCCCCGGCAAGGAATAATCCCAACCCAGTACAGCCAAACAATGAAATGGTTAGCTCGCTTCGACTCTTCCGACCAACAATGTCGGTCATCACGTCAGCTCTTTCTCAGGTAGCTAATCGTGCCAACAGTCCTAAACGAGCTCAACTTCTACACTTCTTAGAATTTCACGCTTTCGGATCTCATTGTAAAGCCCCCTTTGATCTGTCGGACCCCCTTTTATCTTCCGTTCTTGGTAGCTAGGTCTCGAATCGATCTTCGAGAATGCCCCAGCTACCCTCAATTGATCGAGCACGTTCTAACTCCTCGGTAGTGGTTAATGAATCTTCGTCGTCGTTTGATTGAGTCCTCGATAGCCGATATACGAACTTCTTCTTTAGGAGATGGATCGGTGTTTCTGGTGTCAAGTGGATTGTGAACTCGTATTGCTTGTTTGATGGTCCTTCTAGCAGTTCTTACAGAAAGACTCCTAGATGTTCTAAGCGATCGTTAAGGCCCCCGGAGATGGTCGTTTGTCTTGATCCCTTCGGTGTCCCCCAAGTATTACATTTGGTTTCTCTGCCTCGATCCAATGACGATTTCCAGAACTTTCAGCTAACCTCCTTAAAAGAATTCTTCATAGTCCTCAACACGTGGGCATCACTCTCGACTTGATACAGGAAAGATAATTTTGTCGTGTCTTTCAAGATTGAAGTGTCGCCTCGTAGTCATGGCATAGGATATTCACGTGGTGTCTGATCGGCCTATCCACCCTAAGAACAACGTCGAATTCCTTCGTTCGAGAATTTCGTAAAAGAAATGACAACTATCTCCATTTTCGAGGCTTAGCCACCCTCGAGAGTCGCGATAGTGTTTTGCCTCAAATTTCCCCACCACTTCTTGGGGTCGAATAACAACATAAACACGACATCTAGACTCCTTTCCCGGTTCTCATTGACTGGGTTCTAACACGCATCTGATGGTCCTATCAACAACAGTTCCAGACATCCGAATAATTCCATACACTAGGGACTTCTTCGGTTCCCTAAACCCTTCTCTTTCGAGATGGCTTGTGAATGGTCCTCGCTCGAATACACTAAACAGAAACTTATAGCGAGAGAATTGCCATAGACAGAACTTAACTCGATCACCTCTAGAGTTCAAGTCCTTACATATGGAGGGTAAATTCCTAAGCACCAAAACCTAAAGTCCGAACAGGCAGATACCCTAAAAATTTAAAATACTTCATACGTTTGAGTTGGCGCGACACGACGAAGACGAGTGGTCATTTTTCGCAACTTCAGAAATATTTAAAAAATTCTAACTTAAAAATTTTATCAGTCTACAGAAACGTAGACCTGCTCTGATACCACACTATAACACCCCATTATTAATAAAGAGATTTTTCCCAGATTTTCAATAAAAAGATAATCAATTTTTCATTTAAAAATATAAGCAGACTTCTTAATTTCTCAAACGACAACATTTTCTTTTAAACACATAAAAAGGGCATTACTTGAAAGTATTTCATAATTTCATAATTTCAAATCCTCAAATCATTTCACATAACTCAACGGTTCCCACATATCATCATAACAATCAAACATCATCATCATATGTACAATTCAAGCCATATCTGAACACACGAGATTTCATTATCCAATTTATCATTTAGGATCTAAATACCCAAATCATCCTGTGATATCATAATCGTCTCATCATTACATAATCATCAAACAATGACATAATCATCATTTTCAACATCTCATCATCTTTCAAAAGTAAATCATCAGGTTCAAATTATCATTGTAAGTTTCAAGACATCATCATGTTTGAAAATTCCGAAAACAAGTTCTTTAAGCGGAAAACATAAACAGTAGAATCATAAGACAATTAAAACACAGCCACCACTCGACTTTTATCGCCATGCCAGCCATCTGCTCAATATGAAATGGAGGGGGGGAGGGGGGG